TGTGTGTATATATATATACACATATATATATATATATATATATATATATAGTTACCAACTGAAAAAAATAAATCCAAACAGCATACTTGAAGACTGTAATACTCAAACTCTCAGTGCTTCCTTATGGTTTCTAATAGGATTTTTTATTATTGTTATTATTATTATTGGGTTTTTTTGGAAAGGGTTGGGGGGGTCTTTTATTTTTCCTTTGAAATAAAGAAGTGATGTTTTTAAATGAAGAAATGTGTGGATATTTAAGCGTGCTGCTCTCTGGTCTTGAAACAGTTGGAGGAAGAAAGATTTGCTGTAAATGCTGCCCTCTGCCGCCCTTGTCTTGAGATGCAGCTTCGACCCCCTTCTCTGGCTGCCGTGGCTGCTTTAAGGTGTCCCGCCACCCCTGACCGCCAGTTGATGGGCTTGGCTTGATTGGAGAGGATAGGGGTGTGCATGGAAAGGAGGAGGCTGTCTCTATAAACCAGTGTGGGAGGATAGGGAATTTTCTTTTGCCCTCCAAAAAAAAAAAATAATAATAATATTCACCCAGTGATCTTGGTCTGGGATTGTCTTGAGGAAGAATTCAGACTGTGTTACGCAAGTCGTAAGTACTCGTGTCTCCTTAATTTATTTTTTAACACCCCCTAATTACTGAAACCAAAGTGATGTGGAGTCTTCTGTCTGCATTTTGGCCCCAGCATCCTTAATTTCAAAGCTTTATCCTGTCTGCCTACGAGAGTCAACCGGAGGAGATTCTCCTAAGATGCAGAAAAGGAGATGTCAGGTTAGAAGGAGCCACGTCTGGGTACGAATGTCGCCAGCATCCCTGTTCATCTAGACTGATTGATTAACCTAACTATGCTCAGTGGACTTTTTATGGCTGGTTGAAAACTGGACTGAGCTTTCTTGGACCTCCCATCCTCTAACCAGTTCCACCATCCTGGTGGAACTCGACCTCTCAGCGCTCATCTAGAGAGCCTGGCTAGACTTCTCCTAGTATTCTTGGCATTGGGTCACAAGTGCTGTTCCCTCTTGGCCTCATTCTGTGCACCAGGAGATAAACAGAGGGCATTAGACATGCCTGCGAGGGTGGCAGAGTGCGCTCTGCCTGTCACCCCCACACCAGGAAACTTTTGGACTCCATCAGCATGGCCCTGTCTGCCTGAAAGGATGGGTCACGTGACAGCTGCAGCCTCCTTGGGCTTTGGCAAGGTGGCATTCTCAGAGTCAGCGTGGTGTTCCAGTGACCGCTTTGATATTTTAACTCAGGTACCCCAGCCTTCTCCCCCACCCCAGATGATGAGAGTACATCTTTTGCTCCCTCCAAATGAGCACCCAGAGCAGGGACCACAGGGATGATGTTTTCCTTTTTTTAAGAAAAAAAATTAGAACCAATTCACATGCATGCCAAAAACAACTGGCCCTGAGCCTATATCGTTCAAATGTTCACTTTGCCTAAAAAGACTGCAGTGACTGTAGGTGGGTGTGCCAGACGACACCAAGACTTTCTCCAACTAGCACGGTTTCTCCTGACCTCCCGCTGAAGTGTAGTCACTCAGAGGAGGAAGCCAGCCTCACGGAGCTGTTATAAAGACACTCTGGCCACTACCCACCCGTTTTTCTAAGATAGGACCTTTGAGGCCCCCAAACCGCGTGGAGGCTGCCAAGTTTTGTGGGCACTGGAAGTCACTGCAGTGGACAGATGGAAGTTACCCACTTGCCGGGGCACGGCTCCTTTCAAAGCCACATTTTCACCCCTGGAGAGCCCTTGAGCTCCAGCTCAACAGGCCCACGCTGGCTTTCCAGCTTCCGTTCTCAAACTGTCTTAGGAAGGACCTTCCATGCAGGCCAGGCACAGTCAGGGTGTCCCTTGGTTCTGCACCAGGCCTGCCAGCTCTTTACCACCGTGCGTCTGATCTCATGCCTTCCCGTATTTCCTGCCTCCCTCCCCGTTGCCTTTCAGTTTCTTTGCATTATGGCTGTTCTTGGATTCTCTGGTCTGTTCAGAGCTCTTCTATAACCTTGTTTGAATAGCTTATCAATTGTTCTGGGTGGAAATTCACTTTAATGCTTCTGCTTAAAAAAAAAAACAAAAACTGTGCGACTATTCCCTTTGAAATGAGCATTCCCGGATTACGTGTTCTCGCCAGTGCCTAGCCTGGGTGAGTGAGGCTGGCTGTGTTGGCCCCGGGTGACTGTTCAGGTGATAGAATGATTGTCCTTTCACGTTGAGCATGACCATCAAGGCACCTTTCTGCTCCAGTTTCAGTCCCTTGGTTACCTAGGTGCGTGCTGGCAAGGAAGGCTTTTGTACTCTGCTGGCTCCTGAAGGAGCAGAGGCAGGTTAATTTCATACTTGCCTGGCCCGGGGACGGGGGAGGGTCTTCTCTCCGCCCCATCCCAATTGGGGTAGAAATCTGATGCCAAGAAAAACACTGGACTCAAGCCTTCCTCGTTAGCCATGTCCTAATAACAAGCCCATTTTCCTGTGCTCCTCCCTGTGCTTGGTTTTGTTTCTGGCTTCGTGTTTTCTCTGGGCTACAGTCAGATGAGATGCCATGTCCCGAGTGCGTTCCGACAGGGAACTGCCTTTCAAAAGCTTGGGAAATAAGCCTCCTACACAAAACCAACCTGGCCACTACTGACACGCCGGCACAGCGGAAGTACGGTCCCCCCACCCAACGGACCTGGGCTTTCGAACGTGACTCTGAGTTAACATTCTGTGTGTTGTTGTGTATGCGAGGTGATGCCCTCGGTAGGAACTGACTACTAGACTAAGCGTGTTTTATCAAAAGTGTGTAAGAATAAAAACTCACTTGCACGAATTGCAAAGTAAAGAAATGACACTTGTGAACGTGTGGACGTTAACACTGTAGTTGATAGATCTTAAGCTGCTAATTGTGGAGAGAGAATTCGATTTATGTTCTGTCTGGCCGCTGCAGATTCTCAGCAGCACTTTTGCTGTATATACGAATTGAAATAAAGACCTCAGCTATTAACCTGGTGCTTGGACTCGGGTTTGTTTTATTCGTTATTTTCGCATACTCAGTTTCCAGTTACAAGTTCACATGAAAACTTTAGAAAACATGTATGCGTGGAAGGGCTGGCAGGTGGCGTGGTGGTTAAGGGCACTGGACTCCCATATGGCCGAACGTGATTCAAGTCCCAGACCTGGCAGTTTACTTTCTCTCCCCCCCACCCCCCAGTCAAATTAAAATTAAATAAATAAAGTTAAATGAAATAATTCTTAAAAGAAAAAAAAAATCTTAAGAAAAGAAAACACATGTGGGAGCCAGCAAGTGATTTTCCAGTGGTGGTTAAGGCGCTGGACTTCCACATGGCCGACTGTGCTTCAAGTCCTAAACCTGGTGGCTTCCTTCTCTCTCTCTCTCTCTTACTTCTCTGGTGAGCACATGCCCTATAGCAAATTAAAAATAACAATAATAGGGACCAGCAGATGGCATAATGGTTATGTCTCTGGATTCCCAGTTCAGGTCCCAGATCCAGCAGCCCAAACTCACACGGGGTGTGTGTGAATGCCCAAGATCCCAAGAGAAGAATGGAGGAGAGGGGAATTGGTGTGGCCATCCCCCCAGGGGGTGATTTCTTGCTTTCTGTCTCTCTGTCTCTCTCTGTCTTTCTGGCAAGCGCATGTGCCCTATAGCGAAAACCTCTCCAAAAAAAAAAAAAGAGAATGGAGGAGAAGGGATTGCGGCGTGGCCATCCTCCAGGGTGTGATTCCTCACTTCCGTTCTCACTGTCTCTGTCCCTTTCTCCCTAGCAGACGCATGTGCCCTAAGCCAAACCCCTAAAACAAACTAACAAACTTTATTTATTATCCTGTAATTTGACCAGAAAGAGAAGGAAAGTGAGAAACCAAGCTGCCAGGTCCAGGACTCAAACCACAGTCGGCCATGTGGGAGTCTAGGGCCTTAGTCACCATGCCACCTGCTGCCCCCCAACCCCGGGTTTGTAAGCAGGATGGACAGATGATGTCCTGCTGCCAGAATCCTGGAGGACGAGGGGAGCAGGACCCATGCACAGGTGTGACCACAGCCACCGTGCCACTGCT